TAGCAGTAAAACTCTGGAGGCGGGTGTAAGTGAATGAGTGAATCGATGTTTTATAGGATGCATGTCATGTACTGTATAATCTGTACATGACATGCATACTATAAATATATCACCTGCTGCCCCTCTCTGCTCTGAAGCATTTCCTACCGTATCTTTATCTCATCGCTGGACAGCAAACACTCAACCTCTGTCCTGTTTGCTCTCCCCTCTGACCGAACAGCTCTGTTTCTCTTCCATTTACTGTACAAATCTAAAAGTTGCTGTAATGTCATCATATAATTGCATATTTATTCTCTCTTTCCAATCCGAAAGACCCTGACAGATCCTATCCCTGATTCCTTCATGTCTCTTCACACTTCTTATCTTTCATTCTTCTCCTCTTAGTAACAGTGAACCCCATCCCTTTTCCAGAGCAGTTTCTGTTGCATCATTTAGCACCCCTGTGTCTCCCACTGCTATGTCTAGCCCTTTGCATTTGTGTGTTTGAGTGTGTCACTGTGATTCTGAAAATGTTTCAGAAGCTTTTGTGAGTGTCTACTTGATTGTTCCTGTGCAAGTAACTTTGTGTGAGTGTGCGAACTGTCAACCTCTGTCAGCTTTGTGAAACTGCCTTTGGTTGTCCTCAGGACACTGAGTGCGTAAATGGCTTGCACTCATGCAAATATGAACAGTCTCTCAGTGGGTGGACAAAGAGCCAGATGGGATTTTCACAAAGCTTTCTATTTAGCATGAGTCAAACATGTGTCTTAGGCAGGGCAACACATCACCGAGTGGCAGGACAAGGACAATGCAGTCTACAGTATTTGTGCCTCGATGCAAAGCCACTCGTACTTATCTCTGTTTGTTTTGGTGTGAACCACTAGCCTTCACCATCAGCACTACGCCAGTGCACCCGACGGGCTCCAAAGTTATGCTTTACATTGGGAAACTCACAATGTGGTCTGGTTTACTGGCTGAGCTACATCCCTGCCCTCATCCATAGCCAGATGCTGTGGCTAGTGACCGAAAGTATAAGACTGCAATTACAAGCAGCAGAGACTAGGTTCCACTTAAGAGTGTCTAACGTCTCCTTTGCCGGTAGAGCAGGTGCTCAGGAGGTGCACAGAGCAGAGATGATTCTCCTTCACACTGAAAGAAGCCAATTTAGGTTCGGGCATCTGTCCAAAATGCCTTCTGCCTACCTCCCAGGTGAGCTTGTTTTAATCATGTCCAACTGGGAGGAGATCCTCTGGGACCCCCAGAACATGTTTCTTTGTTGGCTTGGGAATGCCACAGTGTTTCCATATAGGAAGAGATGAGCTTTAGTGGACTCAATAGATGGATGAAACTCCCAATGAAAATACTAACATGCTGGTGATAGGGTGGCAAACTGATTGCCATGTCTTTCATCCTGGCTTACTATGTTACTACACTGACATGAACTAATTACCACTGAAAGGAAAGTACAGATGTGGTTCACCAGAATATCGATATTTCACAAACCTCATCAGGATTCATACCCTTAGACCATGAATATCTGAAAAAAGTTTCAGAAACATATGAAACAACATACATTGGTGCTATTGGCACAATAGTGAACACTATTATATATGTGAGAATAGGGAATATACTCTTTTGTATCAGCTCAGGTCAGAAACTGTCTTCAATAAGGATAGTGGTAAAAACTTTCACTAAGTGGGTTTTTTTATTTGCCCACCTAGCATAGCGTGAATAAAAGCCTCATTTCCAGTAACTCACTTGGTCCTGCTTTAGAGAAAGGAGACACAGTGGCTTCTATACCTTCCTAGATTGCATTAATTTTATTCCACCTATTCCCCAGTCTCATCTAAAGGTTCACCCACAAGCTGTGAGTCAGACGGCAAAATGAGCCACCCACAAACCCCTCCCTTCACCCCATCTGTCTATCTAAACAGCCAATTCAGGGATGGCACAGAAGGTACGTCAACTACGTAATAACTAATTATTTGGAAAATAAGAAGACAGATCTCTGTAAGCCTAAACTTAATAAGGCAAAGGAGTATATAACCTCTGTTTCAACATATGCTTTTGCTGACTCCTGTTGAGCCAGCTGCTACTGTGTGCAGACAATATCTAACTTGTTTACAATATAAATTGAGCTGTTTTCACTGCAATTGTCTACCCGTTGCAACCTTTTAAATAATCATTTTTTTGGCATCTTTCCTTTGCTTTCATTTTAATAAAATTTAAAAAAAAACTGGAATATAGTGCGCCGTGTTAAAAAATGTTTTTAAAAATTACATTTTTGATATATTTTTGCATTGAAAATATTTTAATGCTGAGGGCATCTTTTGTAATAATGGCCCTTTTGTGCGAGCATGAACACCAATAAATATCAAAGATTTCTGTCCTCCCACTCTGCTGTCACTATTTTCTGTCTCCACTGACTGAGTGTTTGGATAGCAGTGCATAAAGTGTTATATAAGCTTTGTTAAACAGATCAAGAAAATTCCCCAGGTCCCACCTTATACAGAAGACAAGCTGTGTTTCACTTAACTGGCTTCCTCATTACAGCTGATGTGTGCACAACCAGTGTAATGGAGCATAATCTAATCATCCTGAGAGAACTGAATACATAGACAACAATCGACAGTAAAAACGCACCAATATACACCAGTGCCTAAATATATAGATGTACAAATGGACCCTGAAACATTTTCTGAATGCGCAGACCACTCATTCTCACACACA